CTCCCCTCCCACCCCATCTGGATATAGTTATTTGCGCTGGCAGCACAGGATGCACACTCCAGGATGACTCTTGGAGCTCAGCGAGGGACTGGGGTTGAAAAGGAACACCAGGAGCCATTGTGTCCCCACTGGACACCCCCAATGCAGAGGGGCTGGGGTCCCCTCTGAGTTTCCCCTGCCACAGAGTGAGTCAGCAGCAGTGAGCTGTCTGCTCTGTGCAGGAAGAGGAGGGGATTTGGCTGCACCTTGCCCTGAGCCTGGCTGAGGACACCAAAACTTGTGTCATGTGCTGGGATGAGGGGGCCCTGCCGGGGTGCCCACCCATCTGCATCCTGGCCGTGCCGGGGCTTGTACCTGGGACACGGTGTTCCTGCCCCGCGGCTGCGGCAGGCGAGGAACCCCGGTGACTAATTGCACTTCCGCCTGCGGTTTATTTGCCCAGAGAAGGCGGTGGCTGGGCCTGGGGGACAAGGCAGGAGCAGCCTGTACCTCACACATCCAGCCTGCGAAGCACCGAGGCCCTGTGGCTTTCCTGCCCACCCCCCCACAAAAACAAGCTGGAGAGGATGGCTGGGGTCCAGGGACAGTCACCACGGACACCGGAGTCGAGGCTCCTGGGGAAGCCATACCAGGAGAGGGGCTGGCCCAATGCATGACATGTGGCAGTGTGCCCATGTGCTGACACGTGTACCAGTGAGGTGGGAGCTCAACAGGATCCCCGCCCGCACCGGGCCTCCCTGGTGCAGCGGGGCTGCCGGAACACAGCAGCCCCTGCAGTAGGTGGTGGGTGGCTGCTGAGCTGACTCACACCTGGTTGATGTTGCTCTCCCCCCGCCCTACCCAGCCCCACCATCCATCCTGCTCTACCAGTGTTTCCCAGCTCCTGAACCCACTTTCCCACATCCCAGCCAACCCCCAGGGTCCCCGGGCCGGATGCGGCGCAGGGTGGAGCACTCACGTTGTGTGGGCAGTACTCCACCGGCTGGAAGAAACTGAGACCCCGCAGCAGTGGCTGGTGCCCGGTTCCACAGCACTTCTCCATGCCCTCCTCCATGGCCTGATTGAGGAGGCGGAGGGGGAAGGCGCAGACAGCCGCGTTCTCCTGCGGCACTCGGCTCTCCGGCCAGCTCTCGGCAAAGGCACCGAAGAGCACGGTGTCGGTGTCGTTGATGCCGAGGTCGCGGGCCAGGCGTGCACCAGGGCGGGCAGCGTGGGCTGCCTGCAGCACGTTGTAGGCGATGTCCCTCTCAGCATCCTCCTCGCTGCTGCGCCGGCGCCGGCGCTTGGACTCAAAGCGGCAGTCGAGGACGAGCTCGCGGTAGCGGCGGAGGTCACGCTCGTGGGTGCTGAGCCGTGCCAGGCGCGTGTGGAACACTGTAGATCCCGGCTGTTCCGGCTGCACCATCAGGAAGTAGACGTGGTCCCCGTCGGCAAAGGAGTGCACATAGTGGATGGTGTAGTTGTTGCGGTATTGCGGCAGCACCGTCAGCCACTGGAAGTCGTTTGAAAAGCCATCCAAGGTGCCCTTCAGGCGTCGCACGGACACCGACTGCGGGCTGTACCGTGCTGCCACACTGCTGTTGACGGTGGAGCCGAGGTAGAAGAAGGAGGCGTAAGAGGTGGCCACCACAGTGGCACTGGTCCCCAGTGGGCTGACCACGCAGTCAGGGCAGAACGCAGGGCCGTTGCCCATGGCCGAGTACAGGCAGTGCGTGGCTGTGATGGCCACCTTACCGTCCTGCACCTCCAGCTGGTGCTGATAGCACAGCCCATGCTGTGCCGTGCCACAACTGTACAGCCATGGCTCCAGCGGGTCCAGCAGCAACAGGACGTTGTCTGTGTCCTCAGGGCCATCTGTGGTGGCTGGGCACAGGCGACAGATCTCACACTTGGCACTGCCCACCGGGCCGGTGATAAGGACGGAGAGCAGGCGCAGGTCGGGGCTGACCAACAGGATGCGGTTCCTGACAGCCACAAAGACAGCGACTGGGCCATCGGAGTCGGTGAAGACAGCAACATTCTGGATGGGGCTGCCAGCATCGAGGCTGGGCAGTGTGTAGGGGATGGAGAAGTTCCTGATGGAGCTGTAAGGGATGCGGGGACACTGCCAGGCACCAGCACGCAGCCGGGTCAGGGCGAGCAGCAGCCAGAGGCACACACAGCGCAACAGGCCCATGCTGTGCAGAGCCACTGGTGTGGGGTTATTGACGGTGCTCAGCACCCAGCAGGCTCAGAACTCATATGGAGGGTGGGCCACCATTGCATCTGCCAAAATAAAAAAGGAAGGGTTTTACCCGCTTATTTTAGGTGAAGACCTGGGCACAGCCACAGTCGGGAGTCAGTTGGGGGTGCCAGGGTTCCCAAGGGCCAGATGATTTTGGGTAGTGCCGAGGGAGGATCAGTCACACAAAACCTCTTCCGAAATACCATGAGTAGGAGGTGATGCCAAGCTGCCTGTGGCAGAGGGACAGATCCTGCCTTCTGCCACCTACAGACTCTGCCTGTCACCCTGGGGCATCTCTGCCCTGCAATGACCCTTTCCGGGGACTGGTATAGGGACCCTGCCAGCCCCCGGGACAGCAAAGGGAACTGGGGATCCCTGCGGGACTAGGACAAGGCCCCGCCGGCCTCCCGGGACTGGGACCCCGAACTACCCCCGGCCTCCACCCGCGGCCCCGCCGCAGCTCACCGGGTCCGAGGTCTCCACTGGGTTCGGCTGCTCTCGCCCCATCCGTCCTGTCGGGTCCGATCCGGGCGCTGCCGGGCGGCAGGGCGCTCACCTGGGCGCTGCCGTGCCGTGCCGTGCCGTGCC